CCCCCTCCTCCTCCTCCTCGTCACCTCCTCCTCCTCCTCCTCCTCCTCCTCCTCCTCCTTGTCCTCCTCCTCGTATTCGACGTTTTGGGCCTGCTGGGAGGCCCTCGTCGCCACGGCCGGGTCCGCCTCGAAGTTCTAAGTCCTGGTCAAGACACACCCTGGGAAAAGGTCCGGGGAGTAGCGGTAGCGGTGCCTTTCCTCCTCCTCCTCCTCCTCCTCCTCCTTCTTCTATCGTTTTCGCTGTTTTGGGCCTCCTGTGAGGCACTCGTCGCCACGGCCGGGTCCGCCTCGAAGTTCTAAGTTCTGGCCGGCATGGGTCTCCACTGTAGTCACACCCAGTCGTTCCTCTTAACCACGCAAAATCGCGCTTGGCGTGGGATATACTGACTGGTGGCCTGCAGCGGAACGAGAAGCAGTGCAGCACCACGGCAGAGCAGCTTCGACACAACGTGAGATGACGCAGAGCACCATCGCACCTGACGCACTAGCAACGCAACGCACGCGGCAAGCGCAACACACAACGACTCAAAATAAAATATGTAACTGAACAAAGCGCAGCGCGAAACGGCGAAACACAACAACGTGGATCATCCATGAAACGCAAAACAACACAACAAATGGCAACAGCCAAACCGGGTAGAACGAGGCAAATCGTAGTAATGCGTGGCACCACGCTGGATACGAGTGTACACCAAAGCAACACGAGCCAACGCACTGCACAACCAAGCGCCGCAAGCTCGAAGGACCAGTGAAAATTCGACCAAGGCACTACGAACCAAGACATGAGAGGCTGCGCACATGCAAACCTGGCACGACTGCGTAAATGGTTCATGCTTTTGGCCTAGCGGTCAGTCCTCATGCGCCATCTGCCGAGCAAAACACTACGCTCCTGGTCCCTCCCTTCGTTCGTCAACTACTTGTCTGGGCTCGCCCACGCGTTTCTAGCTCGGTCTGGCGGCAACCACGAAGATTCGGGCACGCTGGCGGGTTGCACCCTTGCCACGACTAGACGATGACGGTCTGTATTTTACTGGTTCGCCAACGCTTGCGGTAATCTCTTGTGCGCTCTCCTGTAATTCCCCAACGCTTCCATATGGCTTCCCGGGGCCAGTATGGCAACTGGAGGTGGATGTCATTCAGGCTCCCCTCAAGCTCTCTGGAGAAAGCTAAGGGTGAACGATGTTTGGGGCTGGCGCAGGCCCCACAGAGGCTCATTGCGCGGCGCCCGTCTTCAAGGGTCGCCGATCGTCCACTGGCTACCTGCAGATTGCAGGCAGCCGACGAAAGGGTCGGTACAACTTTGTTTCGCGAGTGCGAGGAATAGTCGACGAACACAGTGCGGCATGTATTCTATGACTGCGCGTAGCGTGGTGGTGCTGCCTGAGCTGTTCAACGTTGATTTGCGGCCGAGCCGTGAGCACTAACGTTAAGTGGAGTACGTCCGAGACCCCTTGCGTTTTCTATGTCGAGAGCTGTAATGGTGAGCGTTTTTTATTCGGCGTTTAGACATTGGCAGGAAGACGACGAACCGAGAGGGTGCCAAGAGGATCACGATACTGTCAAAGAGAGAAACCCCAGACGGCCAGAGAAAGAAACTGTTGAAGATAACCCAGGAGGGTTCTAAGGGGGTCCCGAGAGGATCCACAAGAAGGCGCCAGGAGCCCAAACTCATTGATACTGCTTAGGTTGTTGACCGGTTGCGGCGTACTCTCGCGCTCGAGGTTCAGGACCCCTAACACGGGCCAAGAGGCCCCCCAAGATCGTCCAGAGAACGGACTGAGCGGCTCCCAAAAGAGCCCCAAGAGGGCCAAGCAGGGCCCCAAAAATGGTTCAGGAGGCCCCCATATGGCCCAAGATGCCCCCAAGAATGTCCGAAAGAGGGCGAACCCCGACTGGCCCCATGAGAGCCTTGCCTTCCAAGAACGCCCCCAGGACCCGCAGCATGCCTCCAAGAGCCCCACAGAGACGCCCAAGGGCACCAAGAGGCCTCCAAGAGGTCCCGCCCAGAGCCCCTAAACCCGCTCGTAAGGCCCCCCCGGTAGGCACCCCAAGAAACCCCAACAAGTATCCAAGAGGCCTCTGGTCCACAACCCAGGTACGGTGGGCCGAAGGCCACTAGACAATGTCTGACATCTATCGCTACGCCCCCCTATTATGGTACGTGCGCCCTTGCTGCGCGCAACCTATTGCATTCAAGCGCCGCATGCTTATGTTGTATACGATTGCTGCCTGCTGTTGCTATACGGGCAACGCACCTTGCATTTGCCAACGCCTCATCGGGTGATTGCCGCGTTCTCGCTGGCGGTTGCCCGACAGCGGGGAAGTAGTAGACCAGCAAGGCGTGGCAGGAGGGGGAGAGAGGGAGAGGCGAGTCGCGGACCTGTAAGCTTCCAGCGGCCCGCCAAAGAGCCCCCTGGGACGTCAACGTGCCCTCGGTGGCTAAACCGCTGAGGCCAGCAGATTCTTGAAATCTTGGAACGAGATGGTGCCCTCATACGACACCTGGGGCGGCCCGTTTGACGCAAGCAATATGAGCACTGAGGGACAACGACACAACCATCCGAGCATACCAGCATGCTGTACGTCCACACGGACACATGCGCGCGCCAACAACCCTCGTGCGCTGGCGTGCCAGCCCGAGCAATCGGGATTAAAGTGTATGGATGTGCACGGACGCATTCTCTTGCACGGACGGGTGCAATAGCACACGCGTGCGCGCACGCGAATGTGCGCCCACCACGGAAACCGCATCCTGACACACGTGTGCGCATGCGTTAACGATGCACGACATTATCATCAATCTATGTGTGCACACATCCCCGCGACGGAAGTGTTTCCTCTTGGGCCCGCACATGCTGCCTTCAGCTCTTGCGCCACCGCGCATGAAATAAACACTGGCGGATCCAATTGAGAAGGTGCGGATCCGAATTTGGTTTGGGTTTGTGTTTCTGTGGATCCAATTCCCCTCCGCGCGGATCCGATTTCGAATGGTGTGGATATGACCCCCGTCCTTCTGTTCACACGTCAACATGTTATTCGATCAACTGACGGACGGGCATCGGATCCGGGTTATCCAAACCATGAACACAGATCTCCTCATCCGCGGCTGCTGCAATCATCTTGCCCAAACGTTTTGTCTGGCGGCGCCGGTACTCTCTCGCCAAATGCTTGTCGCCGCTGGCGCCTCAAGAGGAACATATTTCGTCCTGCGGAACAAGATGTATGTATGTGTATATAATGTGGGGCGTTCGAACTAGTACTGGGTGCGTGCATGCATTCTCTTTTGCACACGTATGCGTACACGTGCATGCATACACGTTCCGTCTGTGCGAGTCTACTCGCATATCCCTCCAACAGCGCTTTCACTGTATTGGGCCCTCGCAGACGTGAAAAGCTTAGGCAATCACGTGGAAACGAATTCGGAAGGCGGCTTGGTTCCCAGGGGTCAACATTCTACATTTTTCTGAGCTAAGAGCAATGTGTCACCGATGATGTGTGGTTCCTGGGTCAGAGTTTTGAACCAGAGTTCCAACTTATTCTACTGGGAGGCCTAAATCCGGGGTTTCCAGGAGTACTGCGCAGAGGGAATAGAGCGAGTGGAGACATAATCGAGTAGAGAAAATATACGTATCATTGGGAGTAGGGCGAGTGTACATGAAACATAACATATGGAGTGCATGGATAAGATGATGATGGGCATCTAATGGGAACCGCATGTCAACCATTGTTCCCGCCAAGGGCTTGCGCGCTTCTGTTCTCCGTAAATACTCGACGCTGATGTACGAGAAGGGCTGCGTCGTTCGCACAGCTGCACATGTGTACCCAGAGGTGTGGACGTACGACTGCGCGCACGCATACCAGCTCTCCTCATGTCTGCTTCTAGGCACACGCTGACTGCACAAGGTGCACTTGCACCAGGTGTTCGTGATGCAACTCAACTGGCCAAGAAACAAAGTAGGGAAGTAGGGCAGGCACAGCAAAATGGCACGATGAGAACGGTTTCATGCGTTCATACTAGGCGTAGAAGGCTACAGTGGATGCACACGTTAAGAATGTTCACATTAAGACATCGTGTAAGAAATCTAGGGTTAGGTCGGGCGTGTCCTCCTACATGCAGGCGGATTTCGAACGAGAAAATTGAAATAGTCAAAAAATCCAAAAGTGAACAAATATAATCAACACGCAGTCCCCTGACTACTTCTGGATTTTCCTCCTGTAGAGGGACGTGCCCGACTTACATCGCGGGGCACAGTGTTCGGTCGAGGGCGACAGGCCCACGACCTCCAGCGTGCGCCTGGGCGCGTCGGAGAGTGAGACAAGCCTCCATGGGACACCTGGCAGCAAGCTGGCTTCGCACCTGGCGTGGAGGCATGTGCATGGCCAGCCCACCTTGTCCGCTGCGCCCGTCGCAGGGCCCGGAGGCCCCATCAGCGGAGGCAGCGCAAGCGTGGTGCCCACGCGGTGCGCGGGCGAGCGGGCCGAGCTGCTGACAAGAAGCCACACACAAGAGTTGCCCTCGACGCCAGGGCCACCGAGATAAGCTCAACTTGACAGCCGGGAGCTGTTACTTCGCGTGTCGCGGCGGCGGCCCCAGCGACACGTCATGCTCTGCGAACGGATCGCGTGTCGCTCCGCTCCGTGGGGCTAGAGGCTCGGGAAAGCTCGGGACGTTGGCGCTTGGGCACGGGGACGTGGATTGCGTGACGCGCCGAAGCGTGGTGGGCCGAAACCGGCGGAGCGACACGCTAAGCCAAAGCTCCCGACACTAGAGGCCTTCAAGATGGGGTCGGGGCAGATGGGGTCGGAGGATCGCGCCGCATCGCCGATGCACCGTCGATGCATCGCATGCATTGACACCGTCGGCGTGGGAAAGTCGGGCTCCACATCGAGTTGCATCCCCGATGCATCGGCGATGCGGCGCGATCCACCAACCCCTACTCGGACCCCATGCGGGAGGCCAGGAGAATCTCTGCACGCGAAAACTTGGGAGGCTCGACGCAGAGAGCTTCCATTGTGCTGATGCTGACGGGGATGTCCCTGGAATTTCGGATCGGGGCACCCTGCGGCGAGGTGGACGCGCCTCGAAACGGACAGTGAACCAGTCGGCGACGAGGGTCGACGAAGGGATGACGACGACGACCGATGCCGACGATCCAGCGAAAGACGACGCAAAGGATGACGACGACGACGACAACGACGACGACAACGACGACGACGACGACGACGACGACGACGACGAGGGACGACAGCGACGACGACGACGACGAACTGCCGCCCCACACTGGCGGGCGCGCAAAGCAGGGGCCGAGGGGCTAGGAAGTGAGGGGGTTGGGGGGACCAGGTGGAGGAGGAGGAGGAGGAGGAGGAGGAGAGAGGAGGAGGGGAGGGAGGAGGAGGAGGAGGAGGAGGGAGGAGGAGGAGGAGGAGGAGGAAGAGAGAAGAAGGAGGAGGAGGAGGGCGAGGAGGAGGAGGAGGGCGAGGAGGAGGAGGAGGCCCCCCCCCCCCCCCCCCCCCCACCCCCGGACGGCGGGCTGCGCCTCGCGGCGTGCGGGCGCCGTGGGGAGCACCCTCGGTCGACGACAGAGCGCCGCCGGGTCGGCGGCAGGCCGCCGACGGCGGGGCGGAGGAGGAGGAGGAGGAGGGAGGAGGGAGGGGAGGAGGAGGAGGAGGATGGAGGAGGGAGGGAGAGGAGGAGGAGAGGAGGAGGAGGGGAGGAGGAGGAGGAGGCGGAGGAGGAGGAGGAGGAGGAGGAGGAGGAGGAGGAGGAGGAGGATTACCTCTCCGGCCTCGCGCCGCGTGCGCACCGGGCGCGGTGACGTCATACTCGGGTTCGGGGGCTCGGGCTGATGAAGGGAACAATTATCGTGCTGGGAAGAAGGGGTCGGGAGTATGAAGGGCATGAGCAATAGCATCTGGATGCCATGATCAGTACCTGCGGCCGCCTGTGGGTAATGATACCCTCATTTCTCCCAGAGCCTTCCTCCCAACCCGATAGTTGTCTTCCTGAGTTGGCCTGACGGGGCCATCATAAAAATGACGAGCCCTGGTTAGAAGAAGAAAAAACGCCATAAACATAATCTTTTGGCGCTGCGCGCGGATTTCTTGGATCCGCGCTGGGCCCCGGAGCGCGCCAGGAGCGGCGCCGGAGGCGCCGCTGGGGGGGGGAATCCACGCGGAGCGCCAACAGTTTATGTTTACGGTGTTTTGTTTCTTCTTCGACTGGTCTGAACTTCGACGCGAACTCCCGCGGCAGGCGTCCCACGGAAACTGCACCGTCCAACTCCAGGACGCGCTCGTCAAGAAGCGTCGGCAGGCCCGAGTTCCCGCGTGTACTCGGGTCCTACGCTTTCCCGCTCCTGGGCGGGGTGGGTTACCAGGCTCCTTATCGACGAGTGGGGGTGGCGCGAGTGGGGGTCGATGCGCCCCCCCCCCCCACTGGACCTATCCCCCCCCTCAGCGTTGCCCCTGACCCCGACGGGGATCAGCCTCGCCTCGCCGGAGCAGTACACCGTGTGCTGGAGCGCCTTCGGCTCGCGATGGTTGTCGAGGCGAGGCTTCGGCTGCTCAAAACTTGGGCCTCAGAACCAAGAGATTCAGCGTGGGATTCCTCCTTATCCTTCAAGACCCATCACCACTATCACCATCACCATCATCATCATCATCACCACCACCGTACCAATCACCAACACAACCACAATCACCATCAGCACCATGACTATCATCACAACCGCATTCACCCTCATCCTCAGACTCACCCTCACCCTCACCCTCACTATAATTATCATCCGCATCACCATCATCAGTACCATCATAATTACAATCATCATCATCAGCAGCATCATCACCATCATGATCAACAGCATCATCATCCCAACCATTTTTGTATAATTTCTCCTCTTACTCCTCCCCATCATCATCATAATCGGCATCATCATCAGCAGCATCATCAACATCGCCGTCGTCGTCAAAAGCATAAGCATCATCATGTTGCAGCATCATCGTCATAATAAGCATTATAATCAGCACCATCACCGCCATGGTCATCATGAACACCATCATCAACAACCTCACCACCACCACTACTCTCATCATTACCATCATCATCATCATCATCATCATCATCATCATCATCATCATCATCATCATCATCATCATCATCATCATCATCATCATCATCAATCATCATCATGATCATGATCATCATCACCATCATCATCATTATTATCATCAACATCATCATCATCACCACCACAATCACTATCACCATGACAATCATCATCACCGTCATCATAATCGTCGTCACCGTCGTCATCGTCGTCATGATCATCATCGTCATCACCACCACCGACGTCAACAACATCGTCATCATCATCATCACCATCATCAAAACCATCAGCAACAACATCACCACCAAGACCATCACCATCATCATCAACAACGTTCCGATCACTACCATCATGATCATCACCATCATCAACATCTTCATCGACGACAGCATCACCACAACCGTTTCAATCATCATCACCATCACCATCACCACAATCACCTCCATCATCATCATCATCACCATCATTATCATCATCATCATCATCATCATCGTCGTCATCGTCGTCATCATCGTCATCATCATCATCACCGCCATCATCATGATCATCATAATCGCCACGATCATCGCCATCATCACCATGACCATCGCCATCATCATGGCCGATCTCTAGACCACCGAAGGCTTCCGCCGGCGAAGGCGCCCCTCCGCGAAGGCGGCTCCCTCCGCGGCGGGCGCGGGGGGCCCCGCGGGCCGCCGGCCTCCGAGACGATGCGCTGGCACACCTCCTGCGGGGCGCTTTTGCTCGCTGCCCCGCGGCGCCGGCCGGCGTCCGCGCGGCGCGCGCCGCCGACGCCGCCGGCGTCGCCCTTCGCCGTCCAGGCCCCGCCGGCGGGGGAAGGGGCCCAGGGGCACACGAGCAAAGAGACACAGCTCCCCAGAGTCTCCTCGGCGTCGCAGCAGTTCTGGCTCCTCCCGAGAATCTCGGACTGCTCTGAGCTTTTGCGCCTCTCCCCCCCACCGTTCGTACCTTCCCAGGCTCCACGGGGGATCGATGGTTCATGGTGTCCATGTGCTTTTGCCCCCTCCTGACGAGTGGAAACGGGTCCTCAGGGGACCGGGTCCTCAGGTTTTTCGCCGTGCTCGGGCCCTCCACCGGCCCCAGGGGCAGCCGGAAAACGACGCAGGATGAAGAGCTCGTCCTGGGGGAAGGCCCCGAGGTCCAGAACCCGTTTTGGTGGGCTTGTCTTCCACCACCACCACCACCAATACCACCACCACCACCACCACCACCACCACCACCACCACCACCACCACCACCACCACCACCACCACCACCACCACCACCACCACCACCACCATCACCACCACCACCACCACCACCACCACCACCACCACCACCACCACCACCACCATCATATATAGGAGGGGGAGGGGGTCCTCCTCCTCCTCCTCCTCCTCCTCCTCCTCCTCCTCCTCTTCGTCCTCCTCTTCGTCCTCCTCTTCGTCCTCCTCTTCGTCCTCCACCTCCTTCCCCCCTTCAACTTATGGTGGTGGTCATGGAAAATAGGTCCAGAACCCGTTTCCCTCAAGACCCGCTTCCCCCTGCTAAAGATCGTCGCCTCCGCAAGCCAAGGGAGCCAAGCAGACCCTTGCAATTCCGCTTCTAGGGTGCACCCGCGTCGATTAGCGTCTGGTAATCGATGAGATAGCACCCGTGAAACGTCGATTAGCGTTGATGCAGCGTCGCTCAGCGTCGATCTAGCGTCGAGTCCTTGTAGCCCTGTGGGAAGACCCCATGCGTTGCCACCGAACAGGTCGTCGTATTCGCCGTCTTCGAGTCACTGTGGGTTTCGACCAACAAGGCGTTTTACTTGTTCGTTGTGTTTTCGTTGCCCCTCGTTTCATCTTCGTTCCGCAATGGCCGAAAAGCAATGTTGGACAAAAACGACCAACGACATCGCCATACACCGTCAAGGTCGAGCCCTGGGTCATTGCTGTCGCCGCCGCCGCCGTCGACTATGTATGCTGTTGTCGATGCCGTCGTCGTCGTCCTCCGGGTTCCTGACTCCTGCTGGCCTGAGAAATCGTCGAACGCGGCCCTTCCCCCCCCCCAAAAGCTGGCCTGGCCAGGCCTACGGGGTTGATCAAACGAGTAACCAGGCGACTACTGGAGCGATCGCTCCCGTAGTCGCTACAGAATCCGCTCAGTTCTTCGGCCATAGGTCGAATCGCAGACCGATATGAGGCGTCCCGGTCCTCTGGACCGGAGCTTCCGATGCTGCTGAAGCGATCGGTGCACACAAAACGGCCGCCGACGGCAGCGAGAAGAGGGGGGAGACGATTGCCGCCTCCTGCTCTTCCTCCTCCTCCTCCTCCTCCTCCTCCTCCTCCTCCTCCTCCTCCTGTTCCCGCTCCTTGCCCCGCCCCCCCGAGGGGGCTGCAGGACCCGCCTCCCGTCCGTGCCCGCCGGGGCACGCGCTGCCGAGCAGCGCGTGCCCCGACGGGCACCGCTCCGACGCGACGCGTGCTGCCGTGGCCCAGAAAGCTGCGGAGGGGCCTCGCTCCTTCGCATCTCTCGCGCGGCGTCGAGCTTATGATCACCCACCCCCCCGCACACTGCGGCCCCACCGAGGATGGTGTAGAGGAGGCCGTCGTCGGACCGGCGCCGCCTCCAGCGGGGCGCCGCCCCCGATCCTGGGGGTGGGTGGAGGGGGGCGGCGGGGGGGGGCTGTGCGCTGGGACCCGCCTCCGGGCGGTTCTGGCGGGAGCGGCGGGGTGGCCGTCTCCGTGCGCACACCCCCTTCGGGGACCTTGGGACGGGGGTCGGTGCAAATGTTGGGCGTCGCTGAAGGGGTGGGGGGGGGCGATGACGGGGGGGGGGGGGAGAAAGGCGCACTTCTCGGGCCCCGAAGGCCCCCCTGTTGGGGCCCCAGGGGCCCCTTTTCTGCAGCCCCCTCGCTGCCCCCCCCTGCCATTATCGCCCGCCGTTAGGCGATGCCCAGAAACGGCGGTCAGCCAGAGCGCTGGATCTTGCAGGATCCTGCAGCGCCAGGGTTGCATTGACCCGGGCTAGCGCGCAAAATCCTGCAAGGTGCCTCAACATGTTGCACAATTCAGCAAGGCCTGACTGATCTGGATTTGCATCGACTAGGGTCGGTGGAGATCGCCGACGTTCGTTTGCTTCCCCTACGAGCATCAATTCCATCCCTTTTCATGACGGACATGCGTTCCATTCCGTGCGTCGTTTGGCCGTTTTTGCTTTGCTAATTTGGCTTTGGGAGGAGGAGGAGGAGGAGGAGGAGGAGGAGGAGGAGGAGGAGGAGGAGGAGGAGGAGGAGGAGGAGGAGGAGGAGGAGGAGGAGGGAGGAGGAGGAGGAAGGGGAGGAGGAGGAGGAGGAGGAGGAGGAGGAGGAGGAGGAACATCGCACGGCTATCGAGGGGGTGGTCGTGATCGATTCGTGAATCGAATTTGGGCGGGCTGATGCCTCGCCTTCTCAAGGCAGCCTGAGTCCTTAGCACAGGCTGCGCTCATCATTCTGGAATCCGCATCCCCTCAGAGGGGGGTTTCCAAACCACACAAGGGCAGTTGACGAACGAGAGGCAGCATACAGGACACTACATCGCATGCCTGCCGATGTTATTCGCAATCCTCTGCTCGCAATCTGAGGAGTTGCTGTTTGCTTCGTGAGCACAGGCTTCGCACACTCTCCACCTGCAAGTAAGGCACACATAGATTGGTGTGAACTTGGTGGAAAAGGGCTCACTGCACGTTATGCAAGACTTGGATGCTTTGCCTCGCGTTGTTCTTCGCAGCGCGTGTCCGCGTGAGCACTGCCATGCCACGAGGCCGCCTCTGCCGATCATGGTCGAGCGACGCTTGTTGCTCTCGGCCCCGGTGAACTCCATCTCGTTTTTTTTGTTGGCTGCGGTCTGGGGCAGCTTCACATCCGTCTCAAGGCCCACCGTTGCGGCAGGCACGGGGATATTGTGGCGCTCGGTGTCGGTGAACTCCTTCGCGAAGACTTCCTCCGGGCCGAAGTCTGACTCGGGGGCCTTTGGGGCGACAGCCTCGCCCTCCAGCTCCTGGTTCGCAGCGTAGACGTTCTGCACGATCTCCGTGTGCGGGCCGCTCTCGGCCTGCAGCTCCACGTACTCCGCAGCGTACTCGTTCTGATCGATCTCTTTCGCGAGACCCACCGTCGTGGCAGGCACGTAGATCTTGTGGTTCTCGGCCGTGGTGATCTCCTTCTCGAAGAACTCCTCGGTGCCGATGCCGACCACGGGGGGCCTGCGGGGCAATTTGCACGCCCTCCAGCTCCTGCTTCGCGTCCAGGGCCGTGCTGATCACGCCCTGCTTCCCCAGATCAGAGTTGTCCTCGGCGGAGTGCACGCACTCCACTAAAATCCTCCACTCCTCGGCGGACCCTTTCACGCCCAGCGCCTCCAGGACGGCGACATCGTGTGGCACGAAGATCGCCGCATCTGCGCTGAGGGTGGGATGTGCACCTTTCTCTCCTGTGCCGGCAAGGGCCGCCTCCAACAAAGGAGCGGCTAGGCCAGCCGGCGCCGGAGGCGGGCCACGGGCCGCACCAGGGGGCGGTGCGGGCCGCGCAGGGTTGCCCACGATCAGCAGCTCCTCCGCCTCGTCGATGAGGTGGCGCTCGATGCCCAGGAGGCGCCCCGCATCCACCGCATCGCGGAGTGAGGGCATGTGGCAGCCCAAGGCGTCGCTCAGGCTCCAGTGCGTGGTGAGCGAGGCTCGCAGGGCCTTAGCGCGGTGCGCCAAGGCCGACGCCCGCGTCGCTCCAAGTTCCCGACGCCGATCTCGTCTGAGCCGTCGCGCCCGCGTTCGCGCGCTGGCAGCAGCCCAGCAGCGGCCAGCAGGGCAGCCGTCCATGGCCTCTTGCGCGCCTGCGCCGAGACAGGCGCGCTGGCGAAGGCCTCCCGAAGCGCGGCTCGCTTGAGCCAAAATGGCTACGGAGGAGGAGGAGGAGGAGGAGGAGGAGGCGGAGGAGGAGGAGGCGGAGGAACAGGAGGAGGAGGAGGAGGAGGAGGACTGCACATGCTCGAACTGTCTGGGCTCTCAACAGAGCGCCGGCAGGGTCGCGCGCCATCTCCGCGCGAGGCCGTGCCTCTCTGCAGCTCGACGTGGCGCAGCAGTGTCGGCGATTCCGAAGGGTGTGGTCGGCAGAGGGTGCGGTCTGCAGCTCGCGCCCACGGGGGGGCAGGCCGGGGCCTCGACGGAGTTCGCCACCGCGCCCCGAGGAGGGATCGCCAAGCCTTTGGCGCAGCGCGGCACTTCCCGAGCCACAGCGGCGCAGATCACAAACCACACCTCGGCGTGACCACACCCATGGTAGTCGCCGACGTTGCAGCGCCGCAAACAAGGGTGGCCATGTTCAGACAGCCTTTTAAAACCGATCCCGCGCTGCAGCGGCACTGGTCGGCATCGCCGCCGCAGCGCGGGATCCCGCGCGAGACTCTCTAAAGAGAGATCGATGGCCAGGCGCAAGCCTGAAGGCGAACAGAACGGCTCTAAGCGGCATGCGTACGAGTCGATGCCCCAATCCCCGATCTTGATCGTGCTGCTCCTACCCCGTCCTCCAATTCCTCCTCCTCCTCCTCCTCTTCCTCTTCCTCCTCCTTCTCTTCCTCCTCCTTCTCTTCCTCCTCCTCCTCCTCCTCCTCCTCCTCTTCCTCCTCCTCCTCCTCCTCCTCCTCCTCCTCCTCCTCCTCCCTCCTCCAACGTGTATCTTCCCTCCTTCCTCATCCTCCCTTTTGTCTCCTCTCTCCTCCGTTCCCAGGGTGCTGAGGATGCGGGTGGCCGATCCTGATCATGCTCCTTCTCCTCCCTGTCTCCCCCTTCCCCCATCCCTTTTCCTTACAAGTAACTCCTCCCTGTCACGCCACCCCAAGCGTGTCGGTAAATAGAGTTGGCGGGGCGTTTCGCTTGAGATTTCCTCGGTATTCATGACCCTAGAGCTTGAAACTTGAAACCATTTCAACGATGGAGGGCAAGCCGTTTTCAAAATGTGGCTCTCGCCTCAATGCCAAACACATTCATCTTGAACGATTCCGGCCGCTTCACGGGTTGAGAGCGGGCCGTGTCTTTACTGTGTTTGTAGCCGCTTCAAGGATGGTGGGCGGGTGATTTGCAACATTTGGCTCTCGCTTCAGCGCCACGCACATTCGCCTGAAACGTTTGGAACAACCTTAAGGATGGAGTGCGGTTCCTTTTCAAAATGTGGCTCTCGCCTTAGCGCCGCACTCATTCGTCTTGGACGTTTCCAACATATTAATCCTATTCGTATGTTGATGTTCCAAGAATGGTGTCCTGGAACGGTCTAGTATTGATTAGCGGTGTTGAAGTATCGGGAATGGCGTTGTGGCGCGATTCAGGACCATCTGGACGCAACAGGCACGTTGCTTCGCGGCGTTGAAGTCCTAGGAATGGCGCGTTGATTGGGGATCATCAGATGGTTTTTGTTCCACCAGTCGCTGCCCGCAATGAAAATAAGATCTTGCAGGGGCCTGCAAAAAACAAAGGAACTTGAAGGGAGGGTTACATGCGATATCGTTGATGCGACTGGGGTGTACACTTGTCCTCCTCCTCCTGCTCCTCCTCCTCTTCCTCCTCAACCTTATATTCGGGTCATAACTCGGGTCTCTGGCGGCCGTTCAAGACGATTCCAACACCCCTCGCACATAGCTCGGAAGGCGATTCCAACACCCCTGGAACGCCCTCGACTGGGCGAACCTGCTGGAAAACATCTCCAGGCAAGGAAACACGGCAGACTCAAATAAAACATCCGAACCCCTCGTGAACCGACACGTCGAGGGGGAGCCTTCAGTCTTGCTCCTCATCTTCCGCCTCTCCTCCTCTTCCTCCTCCTTCATCCCTTTTCCTTATAAATTCGCCGGCCCAACGGGCCAGAGGCGTGCTAAGATCTCCGGTAAGTGGTTAACAATATTTCTAGTTCGCGCGCGCGGAGCGGCCCCTGGGGGCCCCAAGACAAAAAGTACTTCGGCCAGGTCCCGGTCAGGTCCCCCCAGAGCACTCCAGGGGAGGGCCATTTTTCGACACCCCTCACGAGGATCGTGGCCTCCGAGGGGGGAGCCGCAATCGACTACACCTCCTCCCGCCCCAAGAGGCCCCCAAGAGCCCCCCAAGAGGCCCTGGGGGCCCCCAAGGTGCCGCCAAGGAGCCCCAAGAGACTCCCAAGCGGCCCCCAAGTGGCCCCCAAGAGGCCCTAAAGAGGGCTCAAGGGCCCGCGGAATGAGCGAAGCAATTAAATTACTCCTCCCTGTCGCGCTCCAAGACGTGTCGGTAGGGTGGGCCGGGCGTTTCGCCTAAGACTTCCCTACCGCTTACGATCCTGAAGCTTAACACTTGGAGCAGCTTCACGGATGGAGGGCGGGCTATTTTCAAAAGGTGGCTCTCGCCGAAGCGCCGCGTGCATTCGTCTTAAAAGTGCACAAGGCGTTTTACCGACGGAGGACGCGCCGTTTTCAAGGCGTGGCTCTCGCTGCAGCGCCGCGCGCGTTCGCCTTAAACGTTTGCAAGCACTTCACGGATGGAGGGCGGTTCCTTTTCAAAATGTGGCTCTCGCCTTAGCGCCGAGCGCATTCGTCTAAAGCCCCCAAGAAGTTCAAGAACTCTTCTGGTAGACGTCACACAACAAACAAAAAACAATATCTGGGCACGGTTTAGGACTGTCAGAGCATAACGGCCGCGCTGATTCGCGGCATTGACGTCCCAGAAAAGGTGCTCTGGCACGATGCAGGGTCGCCAAGACGCAACAATAACCTGGATTCACGGTGCTGAAATCCCAGGAATGGTGTTCCGGCCCGGTTGATGATTTTCAGACGGTTGCCTTCCAACGGCGCCCTTCCCGCAGTGGAAGTCAAAACATGCAGGGACCTATGAAGAGGGAACTTGGAGAGAGGGTCTATTGCAAAATCGTTGCTGCGTCTTGGGCTTGCACTGGTCCTCCTCCTCCTCTTCCTCCTCCTCTTCCTCCCCTGGGGGGTGGGCCGAACACCTCTTCAGCAAGACGCCACCCAGAGGGCGCAGGCCTGCAAACACCGCAGGGGCAGCACCCCCCTGCAATTAGCTGCTCGACTTTGCAGCAGGGGGCCGACCATCCCTGCCTTCCTGTAGGGCTGCCACGACGTGTTCTTCGAACAGAAAATGTTTTACGAATGCGTGCAATGATCTCGGAACACCAAGCTGCTGCATTCAAAAAGTTTGGCCTTAACCATGCATGCTCAAAGAGCATTTCGTGCAGATCACAAGCATTTCTGAAAGCGTGCCTCGGTAGCCCTAGAAACAAGCCAGGTCTCCTTGATACTACTTTAATCGACTCGAGCGGGTGGTAGTGGGGGGTGACCTACATGGGAGGTGAAGCAACAGGCCGTAATAGGGCCCCTTTTCTTCTTTACCCCCCCCCCCATGTATGTCCCCCCCATTCTGGCGGCGCGCAGAGGGGGGGGCATGGGGGAGGGTGGAAGGCTTCTGCGAAGGAAACTGCTTCTTGGGAGGCGCCTACCTCACGTCTTGAGATCTGGCCCGCCCGGTCAACCTCCGATCCTCCTGCTCCCGAACCCGCTCCGGCTGAGGCTCTGCTCCCGCCCCCCCCCCCAGATGCTCCTATTCCCGCGGCCCCCGCTCCGGCCCAAGATTCCTCCTCCTCCTCCTCGTCCTCTTCCTGCTGCCCTTGCTGCTCCCCCCCCTCCTTTTCCTCCTCCTCCTCCTCCTGCTCCTCCTCCTCCTACTCCTCCTGCTCCTCCTGCTCCTCCCTCCGTCCTCCTCCTGTCCCTCCTCCTCCTCCTCCTCCCCCTCCACCATCTCGCGCCCGAGCAGCCCCACCTGCACGGGGCGCGCAAGAGTGTTTCGCGGGCAAACTTCGAGATGGCCCTGGTCGCGAGAGCCGGCATCGAGAAGCGCGGCGCCCCACGTCATCAGCTACACTGCTGAGACTGGGCTCCCTCCGCCGTCATCGTCCTCCTCCTCCTCCCCACTCCACTCGTCAGTCTGGCGAGCTGCAGCGCCGGCCAGCCGAGCGCCGCGGCGGAAGTGCATGCAAAGCAGGGCCATGATCAGCTGCAGTGTAGGGACCAGGGACCTTGCAGAAGGTGCTGGCGCTGCGAGAACGACACAAGTGCGGGTGGGCCACGTTCAGCGGTAGCGTTGGGAGCAACCCGTGCGAGAAAGGGGGCGCGCAGTGGCAGCAGACGCTGCCGCTGCGAAAAAAATGCGGGTGGGCCATGATCAGTAACCTCGCTGGGAGCAGCACGAGCGGGCAAGAAGCTGGGCAGCGACAGGGCGCTGTGTTAAGGTGAAGAACGAGCGCAATGCCGTCAGCTGCATCAGACGCGATGTACCAAGCCAGCGGTGAAGAGGCAGGCCGATGAAGCACAAGCCAGACGCCATCGGCTATAGCGCTGGGATCTGGGCGAGGTGGAATTGGAAACACACCCATATCCTCATGCCAGAGAGCGGGAAGTGAAGCTGATGCCCGACGCATCGAGAAAAGGCGAAAATCGAGCCCGATGCCATCAGCTAACTCCGCGCGGGAAGCTGGAGGCAAAGACGGAGCCCGACAGCGGAAAAGGTGAGCAGTGGCAGCAGGCGCTGGTACTGCGAGAACCGCGCAGGAACGAACATCACTAGCCACAGTGCCGGGATCAGCTTGTGTGCGGAGACACGCAATGGCAGCAGGAGCTGGCCATGCGTGACGGGCGCGCAGTGGCAGCAAGTCTTGGCACTGCGAGGAGGCGGAAGTACATGAGCGGACGTCTTCAGTTTTTGTTCGGGGGTAGCGGTTGAACTCGTGCCCGAAGGCAGGCAGCGGCAGCTGGCGCCGGCAGCAACCTGTGGCAATGCGAAGAGGCAGAAGTGCAGGAGCGAACGTCTTCCAATACAGTTCTGGGATCAGCTCGTGTGCGAAGGTCGGCAAAGCGGGGATGTCCGAATGTGAAATCGTAAGCAGGCCCGAATTGCTCTCAGGGGATGTAGCTAGAACGCCACGTGTTCAGCTAACGCACCGGTAGTTGTTGGAGCCAAGCGTTCTCAGCTACGGTTTCGGTATGTCCAGGTGCCCTGGGGGGCGGAGTATCCTCGGACGTTCTCTGGACAGGCCATTTTGATCATGCCCCCCCCCAATACCGCACAGGATAGGCCCGGGGCGAGGGAGGCGGCCTCCACTCGGGTCGGTTGGGTCCCTGCGGCGGTCCATCTTCACCTTGCTGCCCTCCTTCTCCTCCTCTTCCTCCTCTTCCTCCTCTTCCTCCTCCCCCCCTCTTCCTCCTCCTCCTTCTACGACATTCTGCGAACACGTTTGCTGCCCTCAACGAGACCAGCAGCACAGAGGAATGAAGGCTGGGCGCGCCTGGCGGCGGCGCCGTTGATGCCGAGCCGACGACGTCGACGACGCCGACGACGACGACGACCGACGACGACGACAACCCGCCGGGCCGCCTCAGCCCAAAAGGTGCGCGAGGGGCTCGCCCCTCCCGAAGCTGGCCCCCGAGCTTGGGTCGACGCTCCGTCCCAGCTTCTTCAAGCTGACGGTGGCGTCCTTATTCCTGG